CACTTGTGTCAGATGTGGCGAGGTCTTGGCATAGTGTTAATTGTAAGATTGGTGTGAATTATGGATGTGGAAATGATATTGTTAATTGTAAGATTGACATGAATTATGAATATGGAAATGATGTTGTAAATTGTATAATTGGTGTGGATTATGATGGATTGAGATATGTAAGTGAAATGAGATATATTAAATGTGAATTGAGATGTGAAGATGATGAATGATTGATATATATATATATATATTTATTTATTGAGAAGGGGAAGGGGAAGGGGAAGGGGAAGGGGAAGGGGAAGGGGAAGGGAGGATCTATTTATTTTAAAAAGCAAGTCTACTATTCAAATACTTGTGTTCTATATAAAATTTTAATAATCCAATCGTTGAATTAAAAGTTTTTAATATAATTAAATTTATAAATTTTTTAAAATTTTGAAAATTGTATGATACTTCGTTATATAAATTCCAATCAACATATAAAATATTTCTATGATTATGTCAATTTGAATTAATGAAATGAAATATTATATGATTTTCAAATTTTTTTATAATTTGTAGACTTTATACATTAAGAACTATTAATTTAAGGATTGAATCGTTAAAATTTGATGTAAAACTTGAATTATTAAATGTAATAAGTTAAAGTAGACTTACTCTCAAAATAAGTGGATCTCTCTCTATATATATATATATATATATATATGAGGAGGATTCAAACGACACCGGTGTAACTTTTACTAAGTGTTACACCGCTCAATAACTTTATATTAAATGTGAATTTTGTAAATTCAACCGTTAGATTGAAAATTCATATCACTTTATATGTGTATATAAAATTTTGTTAAAATTGAACAATAACTTGAAGGTAATCAAAGTGTTCATATTTTAGTATATTTTGAAATAAATATATTACGTCAATTTTGTTTTATAAGAATGAAGTATCAAATCATCTTGGATTAATATAAAATTTTGTATATAATAAAACAAAATTGACGTAATATATACATTTCAAAATATACTAAAATATGAACACTTTGATTACCTTCAAGTTGTTGTTCAATTTTAACAAAATTTGACATATATGATCTAAGAGATATGAACTTTCAATCTAACGGTTGGATTTTCAAAATTTACATTTAATATAAAGTTATTGAGCGGTGTAACACTTAGTAAAAGTTACACCGGTGTCATTTGAACCCTCCTCATATATAATAGTTTGTGTATCATCTTGATCTTCAATAAATTGAGTAGATTGATCCCTTAAACTATTTACACCCTTGGCACTCAAAACTAAGAGATTTATGTACTACATTAATCTCATGCCAACTAATCAAATCGTTGATAAAGCACTAAGAGACTCATCAAATATACATGTGACAAATTTTGACCGACTTATAAATTGTTTCCTTGCAATTAGTTAGAACAAGACTCTATAATTTATAAAATAACCATAACAAAATTTACAAAAAATAATATTTATAGACCTATTAATATTAATAATGATATAAAATAATTTATAAAATTATAAAAAATAAAAAAATTTATATTCATAATATCACCCAAACTTATATACAAAAGACTCTAGAGATAAAAAAAAAATTAATATTTACATTCATTTAATACTCTGAATCCAGATAATCACTGGATTTTTTTTAAGGAGAGGTTCGATTCTAGAATAATTAATAATTGGATTGTGGATTTATATATGAATAATTTAATATAATTGAATAATGATTCTGAGAACAAAAATACAAAAATATAGGTATTTAGTAGCAGTTGCGTTTGGTAAAAGAACATTTTAGAAGTGTGAATAGTCAAAGTATGTAGTTGAAAATCGAAATTGAAATAAATTTATACTAATAAGTAGTAAAAATATTTAATTTAGAGGGGGTTGCTCTGTGGCACGTGATTGTCATATTATTTCTGATTTATTTTATAAGTTGTTTAAATTTTAGTAAAGTTGCTTCTACAAGCAACTTTGCTAAAATTTAAGTAATTCATAAAGTAAATTAGAACTGATGTGACAATAATGTAGCACAGAAGATTATTTAGAGCATTTGTAATGGAAGTTGTTTATAAGCAATTTTCTGTGCTATATCACTGTTATATTAGCTCAGATTCACTTTATGAGTTGCTTAAATTCTAGCAGAATTGCTTACAAGCAATTCTGATAAAATTTAAGTAATCCATAAAATGAGCCAGAACTGATATAATAGTGATGTGAGACAAAAGGTCGTTTATAAGCAACCCTCTCTTATAAATAAACCCCACCGAAGATGTTCTTAGAGCACCTCCAGCGGCAAGTTCTTAGAGCATTGCTTACTGACAAGCAACGGTGCTTAGAAGAAATTCCCGTTGGAGTGATCTCACGTGGCAACCCAGTTGCTTAAAAAAATTTCTTTGTTGCTTCTCCAAGCAACGGTGCTTAGCACTGAGGAGAGGCATTTGATTGGTTGAATCGGATCTACGTGGAACCTCCAAACAGCCAGTCCCGACAGCCCCCGCGCCAGAACCCCCTCCCCCCGCGAACCCCTTCCCCGCGTGCAGCTCTTGACCGGACCCCCTCCCCCTGCGCGCAGCTCCGACCAGACCCCCTCTCCCTGCGCGCGCGGCTCCGA